GGGTCAAGTTCAGTTCAGTTAACTAATATCAGTTCAGTTTCGTACTTAGTCGGTTTCAGTTATACCGAATAAGTCCGAATATCATGTCAGATTCAGTAGAGCATCTTAACATAATTAAATAGTTAAGTTATCAGTTTGAGCATAGTCAATAGTAATTGTTTATATTATATTTCAGTTTGATCAAGCATCGGCACTACCTTCAGTTTCAGTTTCAGCAGTTCAGGTGGGGACTCAGACTAAGTACTACATTGTTTATAATAACGCTACCATGTTCGAGGTATGTATATTCAGTATCCGCTCGGAATGGTTGTCGGTCCATTCTGGGTTCTAGTGGCCTAATCTAACCACTAGAGTGTGCACATGGTCCGGTATTAGTTTGTGCCGGGAGATTGCAGTATTAGTTTGTGCCGACAGATTTCAGTTATCAGTTACGTGACTTATGTCGCGAGATCAGACCGGTATCAGATATCAATTTCAGTTCAGTTATATATGCTTAGTTCATGATATTGTTATTATTTACGATGTTTACATTAGTATGAGTTTCTACGGAGCACAAGTGTTTTAGTGTTCACGCCCCCACGCATTTCATGTTTTTCAGGTCGCAGGGTCGGAGACGAGGAGTGAGGGGGCGGGCTGTTCAGGATATTTGTGATTATTGTATATATGTTTTGCCACGCTTTGTTTCCGCTAAAACTTTCAGTACTCATTTTCAGTTTTTGTTCTGACATTAGTCGGATAAGACAGTATACCCGTTTTTATTTATCAGTTTAAAATTTTAACGGTTTTCAGAAAAATCAAGTTTTTCACGGTAGCATCCTGAATCAGTATTCATAAAAAGTTAAGGTTTTATGTTTTATTCAGAAAATATTGCGAAAATCGCGTACTCTGATATTATTAAAAGTCGGGATGTTACAATTGGTATCAGAGCACGTTTCTGCGTCTCTGAAAAGTTTTTCAGTCAGTAAATTTCAGAAAAACCTGAACCGTCACGCTCACGCCTCGCTGACTCCAGGTAAGTGCTGATTCAGTTTTCAGTTATAAACATATTACTTTGTCTATGCTCAGAAATCAGTAAGATGCTCGAATCAGATTCAGACTATAGAGTTCAAATATAACTCTAGAATTCATTATATTCAGACTTGACTTTAGAGATCAGTATACTCAGACATGACTCTAGATTTTAGTGTCTTTTGATATGACTCTAGAGTTCTTCAGGTTTCACCTCAGTATTTATCGGTCATTTTTGGCAACTCGTCAAGAGATCTGTGTGCCTTAGTAATCAGTCAGAATGTTATCACGTGTTCAATAATTTTGAACGTTCTCAATGTTCAGATGCCGCCACGTAGGGAACCCGATCATCAGGCTCCTACTCAGGCTACAGTAGTCATCCAGTTCGGCGACTATCATGCCGAAAAGTTCTCAGGGCAGGGAGATCCTCGCATAGTAGACGAGTGGATTTAGGGCCTGGAGTTTATCTTCGAGGTCATGGAGTGACCTGATAGATATCGCGCTGTTTGCGCTCAGCTTCAGCTCACCGGTGATGCCAGGCTCTGGTGGAACGCTTACTGGAGCATGCGTCCCGGCGAGAAGTCGGGATGTACGTGGGAGATGCTCAAGGAGTTAATCCGCGAGAAGTACTACCCCACATACTACCGAGCAGAGATGGAGCGCCAGTTTCTATCGCTCCAGTAGGGTACTCGTACTGTTGACAAGTACGAGAGGGAGTTCACTAGACTTGCAGCTTTCGTTCCTGATTTGGTTTGCACGGAGGCCCAGAGAGCGCAGCGTTTCATTGACGGGTTTTACCCAGCAGTCCGTCATAACATCGTAGGCCACGGGACACAGACGTACGCACGTGCAGTTTCCATTGCTCAGAAGGTGGACGCCAGCATCAAGAGGGAGGCCGTCTGTAATCAGTCCCAGCCATCCGCCCCTGCTCAGTCATCTTCAGTTCCACCGATGCCAGCTCTACCATCTGCCCAGCCACCGAAGAACAACAAAAGGAAGGGGAAAGGTGCTCCGACAGATAAGAAGACCCGACGGAGGCTACAGCAGATCCCTCAGTGCCCGACATGCGGACGACTTCACCGAGGCGAGTGTCGCTTTGGTCAGGATGTATGCTACTACTGTAACGAGCCCGGACACTTCGCGAACCGTTTTCCGAAGAAGGCGCAGCAGCCTCAGCAGCCACCGCAGCACCAGCAGCCCCGTCAGCAGGCTCAGAGGCCGCCTCAGCAGCAGCAGCAGAGGGGCAGACAGCAGGCCCGAGTTTACGCCGTCGATCAGGCAGAGCCGAACAGCAGCCAGGAACCATGTCAGGGATGGTTATTCTTAATAATGTTCCTGTGTTTGCTTTATTCGATACTGGAGCGACACATTCTTTCATTTCACGACAATGTCTCGATGCCATCGGAGTTCATGCCGTTATCGCTGTCGATCCTCTCGAGGTGAGTTTAGCCTCGAGACGAAAGATAGTGACTTCAGCCAAAGCCTCAGATCTTAGCCTTTCCATCGGTGGCCGAGTATTGTCTACCGACGCGTTTGTTCTCGAGATGAGGGACTTCGACCTTATTCTCGGAATGGATTGGCTATCCTTTTATCATGCGGATATCAGGTGTCATGACCGGGAGATTACGCTTTATCTTCCGGGAGACGAGTCGATCACTTTCTTCGGCTCCAGAAATCGTTCATTGTCTCATGTTGTTTCGATGGCGAAAGCCACGAAGTTGCTGCGATGAGGCAACTGCCAGGGTTATCTGGTGAGCCTTGTCGATGAATCTCAGAAAGCACGCTCACCTCACGATGTTCCAGTTATTCGTGAGTTTGTGGACGTGTTCCCAAACGAGCTTCCAGGAGGACCGCCTAACCGGCAGGTGGAGTTCTCTATCGATCTCATTCCAGGAGCCGGTCTAGTATCTAAAGCCCCATACCGTATGGCGCCAAAGGAGTTGCAAGAGCTTAAGACTCAGATTCAGGAGCTGTTACGACTCGGTTTCATCTGACCGAGCGTGTCACCTTGGGGAGCACCCGTTCTCTTTGTTAAGAAGAAGGACGGATCCATGCGCATGTATATCGACTACCGAGATCTTAACCGGTTGACGATCAAGAACAAGTACCCGCTTCCCAAGATCGACGATTTATTTGATCAGCTGAGGGGAGCTTGTGTGTTTTCGAAGATTGATTTACGATCAGGCTACCACCAGCTGAAGATTAAGGAGTCAGATATCGCTAAGACCGCTTTCAGGATTCGTTACGGCCATTACGAGTTCGTCGTCATGCCATTCGGTTTCAGCAATGCGC